TTTTTGAGGCTCATTAGGGCTTAGGGTTTAGGGTTTAGGGCAGGAGAAAGTTACAAATTCCGAATCGCCCACGCAAGTGTTGGTAGGGGCACGGCCGGCCCTCAGCATCACCATGCCAAATCGGCCATGTGGGTTTAGGGTTTAGGGTTTAAGGTTAAGGGTGTAGGGTTTAGGCTTTAGGCTTTAGGCTTTAGGCCCCATGAATCCTAAACCCTAAACCCTAACCCCTAAACCCTCAACCCTAAAGAGAAGTCTAGAGGATCCCCATGTGAAAGATCCCCGGAGTCCTGCAGCTTTGGGGGGTTTAGGGTTTAGGGTTCAGGGTTCAGGGTTTAGGGTTTAGGGTTTAGGGTTTAGGGTTTAGGGTTTAGGGTTTAGGGTTTAGGGTTTAGGGTTTAGGGTTTAGGGTTTAGGGTTTAGGGTTTAGGGTTTAGGGTTTAGGGTTTAGGGTTTAGGGTTTAGGTTTTGGCTTTTGGGTTTTTCGGGTATAGTGTCTCGACTCGACTCACCCCCACAATCTTGGCAAATGGCTGCGGCGGATCTGGGCAAGACGCCCCGCTGGGAAGTGCTAGAACTAGAAGACTTCGCATCATCAAAGCAACCACCCCCCTCTTCCGCCCCCGAAAGGGGGTTAGGGTTTAGGATTTAGGGCTTGCGGGTTGAAGGGTTTAAGGATTTCAGGGTTGTAAGGGTTTAAGGGTTTAAGGGCTTAAGGGTTTAAGGGTTTTGGGCTTTAAGGGCTTAAGGGTTTAAGGTTTAGGGGAAGGGGTTTAGGGGTTTAGGGTCCCATGTACGCCCGCTGCGGAAGGCTTCGACTGGTTCAGGATGTCGATCCAGAATACCCGGCTGCAGAGTTAAACCCTGTAGAATTGCTCCACGAAACCGCAACCACCCTAAACCCCAAACCCCAAACCCTAAACTTGAGAGGACAACCCCGGTACAACCTGCGCAGCTTTTGCGGCCCAGCGGCAACGCATCCAGCGACAGATTTTTTTCGGGCCGTTTCTCCCCTTCTGTCGCAGAGAACGTGTCAGGTGCGAGTTTGAGTACATCAGTGACTGGTCGGGTGATCTCGTTGCTTTTTGAGCTCAGGGTACAGGGTTCCGAGGTTTGGAGGGTCTCGAAGGTTTAGAGGTTTCGAGGGCTTCAAAGGGTTTAGGACTTTTGGGTGAGGCTGTTGAGGGGCTAAGGGTAAACTTCCCACCTGAAACGGCCCCAGAATCACTTGAATGGGCCCGGGGGTTCGACGCACAACTCCTTGACCCTAAACCCTAAACCCTAAACCCTAAACCCTAAACCCTAAACCCTAAACCCTAAACCCTAAACCCCATAGAACAGCATCCCCAGGGCCCACAGCAGTCCAGTAGCCAAGCACCAACCGGGACGAGCTGAATGGGAGTGAGGCTAGGGTTTAGGGTGTAAGGGTTTAGGGTTTAGGGTTTAGGGTTTAGGGTTTAGGGTTTAGGGTTTAGGGTTTAGGGTTTAGGGTTTAGGGTTTAGGGTTTAGGGTTTAGTGCTTGCGGTAGAACCACCTTAAACCCCTCAAACCCTATAGCCCTTCACCCCGAAGTCCTTCCGCAAATCCTAAACCTCTAGGAACCCTAAACCCTAAACCTAGTCCTAAGCCGAGACCACGGAATCTAGGCTTTGAATCTTGTGTTCTGCAGCCTACGCTCAACGAAGCAGAGAGGGTATCCACCAGCGGCCAGCAGTCTGCCTCGCAGCTTCGCGTTGATTTCGGGGGCTTGGCTTGGGGTACTTATGTTTAGGGTTTGGGGTTTAGGGCTTAGGGTTTAGGGTTTAGGGTTACTACCCAAATAGGCCTGTGAACCACTTCGACCACCACCGCTGCACGCTTGGCGGCTGCTGGCCTTGGCTTCCCGGGGTGATCATTTATAGGGCTCTGAAGGGAGGGGGGTTTAGGGTTTAGGGTTTTGGGTTTTGGGTTTAGGGGTAGGGGGGGTAGGTAACCCAATGTTCCCTAATACTCCCCACTCCCTGAGCTCCCTAAGCTTCCCTAAGGTTCCCTGGCGTGCTCAGGGTGTTTAAAGTGGTCAGGGGGGTTCACTGGTATGCTGCACATGCGAAATCCTTATCCAATAAAGTTCTATACATATGTCTATATCTATCTGCACATATATGTATGTCTATCTATGTAGATATGCATATCTTTACTCATTTATTCGAGAGAGAGAGAGAGAGGGGGAGAGCTACCCTTGCAAAGAGACCCACCCCCCCCCCCCCAAGATGTACGCTTGGCTGGGCTTCCAGCCACACCTCACGCTCCGAGCTTCCCGCGCCCAGGTTGCCTGCCTGGGGCTTACACTGAAAAACAAAAACGAAAATGGCAAAACCTTAAAGAAGAACCTCAAAGCAAAAAAAGAAGCTCATGTTTGATAAAACATTAGCAAAACCTTAAAGAAGAACCTTAAAACAAAAAAAGGAGCTCTAGAGCGCTCAGAGTGGCCTGGCCTCTAGCAATGCCGCGGACTGCGACCTCGAGGAAGCGCCTCAGGGATTTGCCAGAGTCCCTTGGAGGTTCGCCACTTATGGGTTTAGGGTTTAGGGTTTGGGGTTTAGGGTTTAGGGTTTGGGGTTTAGGGTTTGGGGTTTGGGGTTTGGGGTTTGGGGTTTGGGATTTGGGGTTTGGGGTTTGGGGTTTGGGGCTTAGGATTTGGGGTTTGGCGTTTGGGGTTCGGGTTTAGGGTTTAGGCTTACGGATAGGTCGGGATACAAGCACCCTAAGTCAGGCTATAGCCACAGTTATAATCCATTACTATATAAGTATCCGTGACCCTCCAAGTGGGGTCTCTTAGAGGCTGCTTGATGAGCTCTTGGAGGTTTTCGAGCGAGCTTTTCCGTCATCTAGGGTTTTCTAGGATCTTTGTGAGACTTAGGGTTTATTTAGGGTTCTAGGATCTTTATGGGGTTTAGGGTTTATTTGGGGTCTAGTGTTTATAGGGTTCAGGGTTGAGGGTTTAGGATAGTAGGGAGCATGTCGGAAGGCCTTCGAACTCGGATTCCTATAAACACTACAGCATAAAAGGCCCCGCATGCCCCCTAGCGCGAAATAGGGTTTTCGGGCTGTAGGGTTTAGGGCTTGGGGTTTAGGGTTTAGGGTTTAGGGTTTAGGGTTTAGGGTTTAGGGTTTAGGGTTTAGGGTTTAGGGTTTAGGGTTTAGGGTTAGGGTTTAGGGCTTAGGGTTTAGGGTTCTGAGATGCTCGCTGTCGCCTCACCCCTGAGGCTAGGTCCCGACTGGCGCGGCCGAGCAAAGAGGCTGCTCGGCAGCGACATGTCAGCCTCACACGGTTTAGGGTTTAGGGTCTAGGGTCTAGGGTTTAGGGTTTAGGGTTTAGGGTTTAGGGTTTAGGGTTTAGGGTTTAGGGTTTAGGGTTTAGGGTTTAGGGTTTAGGGTTTAGGGTTTAGGGTTTAGGGTTTAGGGTTTAGGGTTTAGGGTTTAGGGTTTAGGGTTTAGGGTTTAGGGTTTAGGGTTTAGGGTTTAGGGTTTAGGGTTTATCGGATAGGGGTTAGGTTTTGGGGTTTAGGCGTCTAGGGTTTAGGGGTTTAGGGGCTTAGGGGTTTAGTTATGATATAAATCAGTACTACCCAAAGATGATCTGCCTCCGGCCGCCTGCCTCGGGACTCTTGGCGGCCGGGCTGTGTGTGATTAGTTCAAAAGCACCGGCCCACGTTCCGACATTAGGGGCATCATATTGGGATCTTTAGTGTTGGGGAGTCCTACTATTTTGGGGTCTATGTATCTGGATTGCAGAGAAAGTGCACTCCCACGGTCCCCCGTTTTGTATATCTATATATGATGTGAAGATGCCCTAGCCAAAGCTCCGAATACGACGCCGGGAGAACTTGGAGGTTTTTTGGGGTACTTAGAAGTAGTGTTAGAAGTAGGTCCCTTCAAACCCTACTTGTAAGTACCCCAATGAACCTTCAAGCATGGGAACACTCATGAGGACAGGGCTGCCTTTCCCCAATGGTTGCTGCAGAAGGTCTCTTGTTTCCATAGAAGCCTGGAATGCCTCCAGGTTGTTTGGAACTTAGAAGTATTCTGTTACCCTAAACCCTAAACCCTAAACCCTAAACCCTAAACCCTAAACCCTTAACCCTTAACCAAAATTCGGGCACTTCTAGCCCTCCTTATCGGAACCTTCAAGCAGGCCAGATGCGGGTTTCCGAAATTAGGGGTATCTTCTTGGGATCTAATTTTTTTGGGCAGTCCTACTATTTGGGGTCTTTATTCAGGGTCCCTTACCCTAAACCCTAAACCCTAAAGAGAGGGAAACAGATTTAGGGTTTGGGGTTTAGGGTTTCTGGAAAGCCTATCTCAGCTCGGGGCGCGCAGTCGCACGACGTTGCTGATTGGGTTGCGGCAGATCGCACAGGTTGCCTCAACAATCATGAAGGCCTTGAGCATCTGAGAGCCCCGTTCTAAGAACCTCCCACCCTAAACCCTAAAACCCTAAACCCTAAACCCTAAACCCTAAACCCTAAACCCTGGTAACCCTAAACCCAAAACCCTAAACCCTAAACCCTAAACCATACACCCTAAACCCTAAACCCTCTTTTTTGGCTTCAAAGTTCAGTCTCCTTGAAGTTACACAGGTTCGGCCCTTGAATGTGGGACCTTGTATCGAAGGGACAAGTATTCTGTCTCTACAGGCACTTCCACCCTAAACCCTAAACCCTAAACCCTAAACCCTAAACCCTAAACCCTAAACCCTAAACCCTATTGACCCATCATGGGCAGAGAACAGAATACTCGTCCCTTCCCCATCATGGGCAGCTGTCGTATGTAGAGTTTAGGAGTGTGCTCGGGCGGGCAGCGGGGAGGCATGCTAAATCCTACTAGACCCTGGACCCTATAGACCCTGCGATAGGGTTTAGGGTTTAGGGTCTAGGGTCTAGGGTCTAGGGTCTAGGGTCTAGGGTCTAGGGTCTAGGGTCTAGGGTCTAGGGTCCAGGGTCCGCCGACCCTGGCGGTGTGTTGGATGGGAAAAGGAGGGTGAAACCTCCCTCTTTCCCTCCTTACCCCCCCAAAACTTTTGGGGGGGGGGGGGGGGGCGTCGGGGGGTACCCGCCAGCTTTAAACTCATGGACCTAGGCGTTTTCGCACAGGGCTGAGAAAAAACCCCTGTTTGGCTCCCACACTCCCCCCCCCTACCCCCCCCCTACCCCCCCCCCTACCCCCCCCTACCCCCCCCCCCCCATACCCCCCCCCCCCCAACCCCCCACCCCCCCCCCAAACAGGAACCGCAAACAAAATCACCAAACCCCAAACCTTAAACTTGTTCTCCTGCGGGGTCGGCGGCTTGAGCCGGAGGCTCTTAAATTTAGGTTTTAGGTTTTAGGTTTTAGGGTTTAGGGTTTAGGGTTTAGGGTTTAGGGTTTAGGGTTTAGGGTTTAGGGTTTAGGGTTTAGGGTTTAGGGTTTAGGGTTTAGGGTTTAGGGTTTAGGGCCAGAACTCAAGATGCCCTTCACCCTGAAGCCTGGCTCGCCCTTCGCTCCAGCAGCTGCAGGGCGCAGGAGACGCACATTCCTGGAGTGGGTTTAGGGTTTTGGGTTTAGGGTTTAGGGTTTGGGGTTTGGGGTTTGGGGTTTGGGGTTTGGGGTTTGGGGTTTGGGGTTTAGGGTTTAGGGTTTAGGGTTTAGGGTTAGGGGTTTAGGGTTTAGGGTTTAGGGTTTAGGGTTTAGGTTTAGGGTTTGGGTTTAGGGTTTAGGGTTTAGGGTTGGGGTGGGGGTTTGGGGTTTGGGTTTGGGGTTTAGGGGTTAGGGGTTTAGGTTTTTAGGGTTTAGGGTTGGGTTTAGGTTTAGGGTTTAGGGTTTAGGGTTTAGGGTTTAGGGTTTAGGGTTTAGGGTTTAGGGTTTAGGGTTTAGGGTAGGTTTTAGGGTTTAGGGTTTAGGGTTTAGGGTTTAGGGTTTAGGGTTTAGGGTTTAGGGTTTAGGGTTTAGGGTTTAGGGTTTAGGGTTTAGGGTCTAAGCCTAGGGCTTCGTAAGACTTCGACTTTTCTGCTCCGACTTATGATGTATCCCTAAACCTGGGCTCTAGACGCCTGAGCCCTCAGCCCCCCAAAACCCTATGTTCCTCAGTATCCTTCCTCAAACCCTAAAGCCGCTCAAGCCCCTTAAAACCCCTAAAAAAAACCCTAGACCCTGTACCTTAAAAACTCCTAAACCGCCCTACTACACAACCGCTTGGCAGAAGGGTTCACAAGGTGTGCTGTTTAGGGTTTAGGGTTTAGCATTTAGGCAGACCTGGGTGGGGTCCCCCTCATGAGAAATGGAGGCCCCCGTCCCCTCCCCTCCTCTCCTAAACCCTAAACCCTAAACCCTAAACCCGAAACCCTAAACCCTAAACCCTAAACCCTAACCCCCAAACATACGACAATACGCTTACCCACGGCCTGCGTGCCCGCACTCCAAGAGCACTGCCTGAGGTACCTGGTGCAAGAAGTCAGCTTGAGGTTTCAGGTGCAGGTTTAGTATTTAGGGTTTAGGGTTTAGGGTTTAGGGTTTAGGGTTTAGGGTTTAGGGTTTAGGGTTTAGGGCTTGGGGTTTAGGGTTTAGGGCTTAGGGTTTAGGGTTGAGGGTTTAGAGGTGCAACCCAACACCTACACGTCAAGTTCCAAGCGCCAAATCCAAGCCTGACACCCGGAACCTCGACCTGTGCACCCACCCTTACATCCTAAACCCTACTCTTAAGGGTTTAGGGTTTAGGGTTTAGGGTTTAGGGTTTAGGGTTTAGGGTTTAGGGTTTAGGGTTTAGGGTTTAGGGTTTAATTAGGGTTTAGGGTTTAGGGTTTAGGGTGGTTGTTTCATGGTCCCTTAGTATGGGCCCTTAACAGGGGACCCCTTATATACCCCTTATATGAAACTACCCTTAGATACAAGTAAGTACCTAAACCCTTAACCCTGAACCCTAAACGCTAAACCCTAAACCTAAACCCTAAACACTAAACTCTAAACTCTAAACCCTAAACCCTAAACCCTAAACCCTGAACCCTAAACCCTTCAGAAACCCCCCCAAAAAGCCTATGAAGCGTACAGTGAAACCTCGCCTGGTCGTAGCAGATGAAGCAGAGCTGCTCAGACCTGGATCAAGGTTCGAGCTTCAGGGTTATTGGATGTAGAACCCTGAACCCTCAACCCTCAACCCTCAACCCTCAACCCTCAACCCTCAACCCTAAACCCTAAACCCTAAACCCTGAACCCTAAACCCTAAACCCTCAACCCTCAACCCTCAACCCTAAACCCAACGCAGCTCCGGAATGCCCAAGGCCCATTTGGCACCCGGCTCTACTATCTCCTCGTAGTTCGCCCCGCGCGCGGAGAGAATCGACCTGAGTCGCCAGGGCGGGCCGAAGGGTCGGAAGGCTGATTTTGGTTTGGGGTTTAGGGTTTAGGGTTTGCGGTTTAGGGTTTAGGGTTTGGGGTTTAGGGTTTGGGGTTTGGGGTTCAGGGTTTAATTAAGGTTTAGGGTTTGGGGTTTGGGGTTTGGGGTTCAGGGTTTAAGGTTTAGGGTTTTTAAAAGTGCAGCGGACTTTCGCTCTGCACGGGGCTCATGTCCCATGCAACACGCACCAAAGTGAAACAACCAAGATGACCTACTATTTGCTTAAGAACCCCACATAACATAAAAAAAATATTCTTCGGTAGTAAAGGGATTATTTGTTTTAAGTTTTTGGACGGTTCTCAAGCAAATGGTAGTGACGCCGAAGCGAGAGGACGGTGATTCAGTCTGTTGTACTGTTCCGCATTCATGTGCCGGTTGCCGAAATTGGGGCACGTCTTTTTTTGTGTTTTTGGAGGGGGGGGGGGGGGTTCTTTCTATTTGGGGTATGAAAGGGGTACCCCAATTTTGGGAAATACCCATGTAGAAATAGTACGTTAACTTGCATTTGAAAAAGGTTGCAAGCTTAAGGACCTCCAACAGAAGCTGTCCCAATCTTCGGAACCCCATGTCGGCTTCTGCCCCCATGCTTGCCCCAAACCCTAAACCCTATACCCTAAACCCTAAACCCTAAACCCCAAGCCCTAAACCCTAGGGGTGTATTAGGGTTTAGAGTTAATAGGGTTTAGGGTTCAGGGTTTTTGGGGTTTAGGGGGGTGAAAGCTTTAGAGCTATTAGGGCTTAGGGTTCAGGGGGTTAAGGGTTGAGGGTCTTCGTTTCTGTTGGTGGGCCTCTCCGGGTGGCTTTGTCTTTTTCTGCCTGTACTAGCTTTTGTAGTTGGAGATGGTAAGGTGGAAAACTACCCCCTCCGATGCATTCTTAAAGAAAGCCACCAAGCTAGGCATTCCTACAAAAGTCAGCTCCACTCAACCAACCAACAGAGCAACTCCTAAAGCAGGTTGACGAAATCAATAGTGGGATCCCCTAATAATCAGGACCCCAATAAGGTAGCCCGAATATAAACCTAAACCACAAAATTCTACAAGCATACATCTCATACTCGGAGGCTCATGGGTACTAAGAAGTAGGGTTAGAAGTCGGGTAGCTGTGATTATAAGCTTGTTTAGGGTACCTCAAACCCTAAGTACCCCTAAACCCTAAACCCCAAACCCTAAACCCCAAACCCTAAACCCTAAACCCCTGCTTGTAAGTACCCACGAACCTCCAAGTAGAAAACCCTGGTCACCGGGCTCCCGCGCGCCGAGGGGTCCAGCGAGATCCTCGCGATGGACGCCACCGCCGACCCGGTAGCCTCGAAAACTGCGGTTTAGGGTTTCGGGTTTGAGCTCAACTCTTGACCCTAAACCATGACTTAGGGTTTAGGGTTTAGGGTTTAGGGTTTAGGGTTTAGGGTTCCGGGTTTAGGGTTTAGGGTTGAGGGCTTGCAAGGGGTTTGGGGCTTAGGGCTCTTGAAGTTTAGGGTTTAAGGCTTTGGGCTTCCGGGGGATGAGGTTTAGGGCTTTGGGCTTTCGGACTTGAGGCTTGGGGATCAGGGCTTCTGGCTTTCAGGGTATGGCATTTCGGGGGAACCTAAGCCCTAAACCCTAAACCCTCAAAAAGCAGCTCATCTATCCGGTCTGGGCTGTGGGGTTCAACCCCCCCCCCCCCCCCCCCGAAAACGTGAAGGTTCATGAGGGTACTTGTTTAATAGCTCGGGGTTCTCCAAGCACCCTAAGTAAGGTTACAAACATAGCTATCCTACCTATAGCCCTAAACCCTAACCCTAAACCCTAAACCCCTAGGACCTGACCCAAACAGCGAGCCCGAGGACCGAGCGGGAGGTGTTTCTGCTTCCAAGGCCGCCTGGCGTTTAGGGTTTAGGGGGGTTTGGGGTTTAAGGTTTAGGAACCCAGGGTGACGATGCCCTCAACCCTAAGCCCTAGGCACACATGAAGTCTACCGCCTGTGCCTATACCCACCTTAGAACCACAAAAAAATGCAAGTATATTCGACATCCCTGTTGGGCTTTAGGGCTTCAAGGATTTCTCCAAGCGAAAATGAAGACACACTTGCTTGAAAGGGGCAAGAGGAGAACTCTGGAACCCGGGCGCCCCATTGCAAGAGGAGAACCCTGGAACCCGGGTGCCCCATTCCGCACCATTCTACGGTGGTTTAGAGTTTAGGGTTTAGGGTCTAGGGTTTAGGGTTCAGGGTTTAGGGTTCAGTTTAGGGTTTAGGGTCGAGGGTTTAGGGTCCGACCTTGGCCCCCCAAAACGGGGGGGGGGGGGGGGGGGGGGTCGGTGCACAATTTTTTCGTGGAGGACCGCGCCACCCGCACAGCGTAAACAGGCGGTTCAGCACAGGGGGGTAGGGGCGCCCTCCATCAGCGTTTTCGGCCCCCCCCCCACCCACCCCACCCCCCCCCCACCCCCCCCCCCCCCCCCCCCCACCCTCCCCCCCAACCCCCCCCTACCCCCCCACCTGTGCTACCCCCTACTCCCCCCCAAACGTTTCACAGAACTCTGGGATGATCTTCGAACCATGCGAGCGGGTTTAGACCTCTCAACTATGCTCCAGCGGGGTCGGCGGCTTGAGCCGGAGGCTCTTAAATTTAGGGTCGAGGGTTCAGGGTTTACGGTTCAAGGTATCTTTTCTGTGGGAAGTTCGCCCGCTTTCACGGGATCTGAGGTCCACTACAACCATTTGCAGCTCCTTTCTTCTCACCCTCGAGTAGCCCACAAGAAACCAATGGTAAGCAGGTTGCCTCAAGCACTCCAAACCCTACACCCTCAAAACCCTGGCTGAAACCTACTAACCTAAAGCTGTACACCCTAAACCCTAAGCCCTCTGCACCCTAAACCCTAAACCCGAAACCCTAAACCCTAAACCCGAAACCCTAAACCCTAAACCCTAAACCCAAGGCCCTGGGGTCCATGTAAACAAGGGGCCTCCCAGTGTCGCGAGTAGTAGGTCGCAGTGACTCGGAACCTCAAGGGACGAAAGGAGGGACCCTAGGGGGTTATATGGGGGTTATTCAGGGACTACTTAGGTCCATAGGGACTATATCAGACTAAGATGTTTTTTAGGGGCTATGTAGGGGAGTAAGATGAAGGATCCCTTCTAGGGTCTCTCCCTATACCCCCGAAGAACCCGAGACCGAGACGTTGAGAGCTTAATTGGCACTCGCAGAGGGAGATGGTGGACTTGGGTACTCTACGGACTCACTTTAAAATGAGGGGTTAGACAAAGGGGACATCGGATCTAAACCCGACACCTTACAAACAAAACCCTACACCCTAAACCCTAAACCCTGTACGAAACCCTGTTAAGACCCCTAAGCACTAAACCCTAAACCCTAGACCCTACCTAAACCCTAAGCACTAAACCCTAAACCCTGATGAAGCTTGAGCTTGCCACTATGAACACCCAGAGGGCCCAGCAGAACTCGGGGGGCCGGCAGGTCCCGCTGCCTTGTTTGTAGAGGCGAGTTGCTTCGGAATTGTGGGTTTAGGGTTTAGGGTTTAGGGTTTAGGGTTGAGGGTTGAGGGTTGAGGGTTGAGGGTTGAGGGTTTAGGGTTTAGGGTTTAGGGTTTAGGGTTTAGGGTGGCCAGTTCTGTAGGGTTATATGTAGGGTAACCATGGTTATGACTTACACCTCTTGTAGGGCACTTACACCCTACTTATAGGTACCCATGAACCCTCAAGTACCTCCGCATATACGGAAGGGGCCAAGCTGTTCGTAGGCTAGAAAGGGGAACCTAGTTTCGGGAACCACATGGGTGGTTGTCAAAACGATGGTCCCTTTTTGGACCCCCATAATCACGCACCCAGTATTTAATATTTAGGGTGCCCCAGGGAGGTCGTAATTCTGACGACCACCCCACGTTGCGTTTGAAGTCGGCTAGATGACTTCGTCTGATGGAGAAGAGAGCAGCGGAAGCATGAGCGAACTCGTCACCCCCGTTTTGGGACCGGGAAACCCCGCATGGTGCTGAAATGGCTCTGATCCTGGATCCTGGTCAAGCCTCAACCCTCAACCCTAAACCCTCAACCCTAAACCCGAAACCCTAAACCCTGAGTCACTGGCACAATGGAAGGCGGATAGACCTGCGACAGACACGAAGTGGCTGTTGTCACTGTTGAGCCGTGGGCAAGTCAGCAACTGCCGGCGAATTTGGTGCTTGACGAAAATAAGGACCCCTATTCTAGATCCCCAAATAATTGGATTCTCTCAAAATATGGACTCCAATCTATAAGGTACCCCCCCCCAATTTCGGCAACCCCACCCCCCCACTTGCGGCGCTGCGATGCCAGTTGAGATGGTGGGAACGTAAGCGCTCCAAGCTCTCAAGGAAGCGGTGAAACCTCTACTTGAGGTTCATGGTACTAGATAACCAATTACAACTGTACTTGAAGTTGTACTTATAACCATTAGGGCGCAAAAGGGGCTTGTAAGTGGCCTATACGTACAGTCAGAAAAAGTACCCCTAAAGCCTAAACTCTAAACACTAAACCCTAAACCCTAAAGCCTAAACCCTAAACCGTAAGCCCTAAACCCTAAAGCAAGTACCATGAACCTCCAAGTAGATTCTATAAAGAAACCCTTCCCTGTCCGGCACTTGAGACTCGAATGCCGAGGACGCCCCAGAACAGCCATAGCCCAAGCTCCCCTTCACCCCAACCCTAAACCCTAAACCCTGAACACTAATCCTAAACCCTCCGTAAACCCTAAACCCTAAACCCTAAACCCTAACCCTAAACCCCAAACCCTAACCCTATATAAACCCTAAACCTAAACCCAAGGCGGGGCTTGCCCAGCCTCGGGACCTCTGCCCGGCTGGTACCAGGCATCGTGCAGCGCCAGCGACAGCGGGCGCTGCGCGGCCGGTGGGCTTTAGGAGTAGGGTTTAGGGTTTAGGGTTTAGGGTTTAGGGTTTAGGGTTTAGGGTTTAGGGTTTAGGGTTTAGGGCTTAGGGCTTAGGGCTTAGGGCTTAGGGCTTAGGGTTTAGGATTCAGGGCTTAGGGTTTAAGGATCTGTAGGGCTGCAGGGTCCCCCTGAAACGTGCGGAGTTTTGGTACCCTAAACCCTAAATTCCGTAAACTCACTAAATTTCCTCAATTATCCTACAAACCCTAAACCCTAAACTCCCTAAAGCCTAAGCCCTAAACCCTAAACCCTAAACCCTAGGTGATTTGGGGGGTTTGGGGGGGGGTTAGGAATTTGGGCCCACCCACCAAAAGACCCTATGAACCCTGAACCGAAAGCGAGCAGACTGCAAGGGGCACGGCAAGATGCTTTAGAGGTCTGGGGGCTTAGCATGCTCGAAACAGCAGGTGTAGGGGCTTCGGGATTCTTGCTGATGGTTAGCAGGGAATGAGGGAATTAGGGCCCCACATATACCTGTTAAGGGGTTTGGGGTTTGGGGCTTAGGTTTGTGTAGGGTGCCTCATTCCCCCACTCCCGGCTCACCAGCAGTAAGGTTTAGGATCTAGGGAGCAACCCAGCAAAGCACCCAAAGACAGCGGCAAATATCTTTGGGCTTGATGGTTTTAAGGGTTTAGGGTTTAGGGCTCAGGGCTTAGGGCTTAGGGTTTAGGGAGCTACCGGACTTGATACAGGAGACCCCAAAATGCTGACCCACATGCCCTCCACAAGGCAAGAAAAAGTGTCGGGTGGTGTTTGTGGGAGCTCGCCTCTCTGCAAGCCCTAAACCCCTAAACCCTAAACCCTAAACTCTAAACCCGAAACCCTAAACCCTAAACCCTAAACCCTGAACCCTAAACCCCTTGCTCCATGAGGGCATAGCCTTGGCCAGAGTGGTGACAATGCCGAAGCTTGGCAGGAAAATTAACCTTGGCCGCCCACGCTTCGAGAAAGGTAACCTTGGGTGAACCTACCTAACAAGCGTTTTGGAACGATCCTTTTTTCATGGCCGGTTCTTTCGACTGCAGTGATTACCAGTACCTTTTTGGGGTACCCTATATACAGGGGGCCCATATTCAAGCAGGTAGGGAAGCTGATTTCGGAAACCCCCTACATGTCTCAAGGCGGGCGCAGTACCGTACATGACATGGAATCGGCCTCGACTCTGGGAATGTGATTGTAACTCGAGACCAGTTGCTTAGGGGCCCCCAAAAAACTGAAAATGAATCTTGCTGGGAAGGCCGATATAGGGATGGATCACTTGTTTGGTCATTTTCGGGACTCTTACGCAAATAGTAGTAGGTCGCTCCATCAAAATGTAGCTTCGCGGGTTGCTTCCTGCATGTCCGTCTGTTGGTCGCGGGCCAGTGCTGCTTTGTTGCATCGAGACTGGGTTTTGGGTTTAGGGTTTCGGGTTAGGGTTTAGGGTTAGGGTTTAGGGTTAGGGTTTAGGGTTTAGGGTTTAGGGTTTTCAAGCCCTACAAGAAGTCGGCAGAAACCCGGACAAGAACTGGGCAGCAAGAGCCTCTACATGTTGTCCTGCGAAAGTCATTGCAAAAGCAACACCCAGCACCCCAAACATCTTTGCCCGCCAATACCTCCAAAAGAAAATCCAATCGCTCAGTTGCCCCATTTCTGGATATGACCAAGCCCTGAACCCTAAACCCTAAACCCTGAACCCTAAACCCTAAACCCAAAACCCTAACAAAGCTGCGCACCATGGCCAGATGGAAAGCTGGAGTCGCTGTGAGCACCTGGGAGGCTTCGGGTTTCAGAGATGTGGTCGGCACAAAACGGTGATCATGATTACTGTTGTATCATAACAATACCGGTAACAATAACGGCAGTCGTATAATCATAGTCGTGTCGTTAGCATCGTCATCATCATCATCATCATCATCATGATCATCATGAACATCATGATCATCATGATCATCATGATCATCATGATCATCATGATCATCACGATCATCATCCATCATCCATCATCCATCAACCATCATCAATCAACCATGATCATCATCATCATCATCATCATCATCATCATCGCCATCACGGTTCTGGCGCCGGTGCCAGTGCGGGGGTGGGTGCTAAGATTGGTGGAGGTGGCTGGCCGTGGCATTGCTGCCGACGATGACGATGGTGATCAGGGTACCGCTGCTGGTGATGGCGGCTGACGGGCACAGGCAGCCGTAGCTGCAGCAGTAACCTGAGAAAAGCAGGCGCACCAGGATGGGATGCGCCCAAAGCCAACCAAAAAAAAACTACGGCGCCTCAATCACCCCCCTGAACTCCTAGACCCCTAAACCCCTAAACTCTTAAACCCCTACACCCCTCCCCCCTAAACCCCTCAAACCCCCTCAAAACCCTCAAAACCCCCTAAACCCCCTAATTCCCCTAAACCCCCCAAACCCCCCAAACCCCCAACCCCCTAAACCCCCTAAACCCCCATAAACACCCCAAACCCCCAAAACCCCCCAAACCCCCTAAACCCCCTAAACCCCTAAACCCTAAATCCTAAACCCAAACTCCCAACTCCCAACTCCCAAACCCCAAACCCTAAACCCCAAACCCTAAACCCTAAACCATACCCAAACCTTCTTGACCACGACTGAAGACCCGGACTCCGTCGGTCCGCTTGCCGTGGACGGGGTGTAAGGGGGCGTTGAGCCTGGCAGAATCCCAGATTTGCTTCGGTTTAGGGTTTAGGGTTTAGGGTTTAGGGTTTAGGGTTTAGGGTTTAGGGTTTAGGGTTTAGGGTTTAGGGTTTCGGGTTGAGGGTTTAGGGTTTAGGGTTTAGGGTTTGGGGTTTAGGGTTTATGGGAAAAGGAAGTGAAAACCTCCCTCTTTCCCTCCTTACCCCCCCCTACCCCCCTCCCCCCTACCCCCCTACCCCCCCCCCCCCCCCACCCCCCCCCTACCCCCCCCCCCCCCTCCCGCCCCCCCCCGCCCCCCACCCCGCCCCCTCCCACCCCCCCCCCCCCCCCCCCCCCAACCCCCCCCCCACCCCCCACCCCCCCCCCCAACAACATCACCAAACCCCAGCGGAGGCTCTTAAATTTAGGGTTTAGGGTTAGGGTTAGGGTTTGGGGTTTGGGGTTTAGGGTTTAGGGTTTAGGGTTTAGGGTTTAGGGTTTAGGGTTTAGGGTTTAGGGTTTAGGGTTTAGGGTTTAGGGTTTAGGGTTTAGGGTTTAGGGTTTAGGGTTTAGGGTTTCGGCTTTAGGGCTTAGGGTTTAGGGTTTAGAGGTTAGGGGTTAGGGTTTAGAGTTTAGGTCTGGCGGTCACGGAGTCTTATCCAGATTTGGCTCTCAATACCACCATTGCTATTCAATGGGTTCTCGTGATGAGCCATTGTCGTGAGTTGCGTACTATTACCTTTCGGTTATTGTGTGTTGGTGTTACGGGCTTTTTGTAGGGTTGAGTGCCCAGGACTTGCCCCCTACAAACCCTGTAGGCCCCACAAGCCCTACAAGCCCTGTAAGCACACAAACCCTACAAACCCTATTAAACCCTAAAGTAAGCATTAAACACTAAACATTAAACCCTAAACCCTAGACCCTGTCAGCCCTGCAAGCCCTGTAAGCCCTGCAAGCCCGTACGCCACGCGTGGTCGGCCGACTGCATTGCATGCCCCCGCCCCGGTCTAGGGTTTCGGGCATAGGGCTCAGGGCTTAGGGCTGAGTTTAGGGCTTAGGGTTTAGGTTTTAGGGTTTAATGTTTAGGGTTTAGGGTCACAAAAAGGGGGGGGGGGGGGGCTTAAGGTTGCGGATTCAGGGTTCAGGGTTTAAGAACATGAGCTGGCGCACAAGTCTTGTTGTCCAAGATGAAGGCAATATTGTACCTGATCAGGGTGCAGGGTTTGCAGGGTTTAGGGCTTAGGGTTTAGGGATCAGGGTGGAGGGTTTGCAGGGAAGGTTTTGTGTTGAGGGGTTTAGGGTCTAGGAGTTTAGGGTTTAGGGAGGGCGCGACTCTTCAATGTGGACCCCCTTTTGGCGTGTAAGGTGGACTTCTAGAAGAGGAATGGACTATACTAGAGTTCATATATCCCCTAAACCCTAAACCCTAAACCCGTGAACCTTATTTCCTCAACCCCGAAGGGAGGGTTCAGGGTTCAGGGTTCAAGGTTCAGGGTTTAGGGTTCAGGGTTCAGGGTTCAGGGTTCAGGGTTCAGGGTTCAGGGTTCAGGGTTCAGGGTTCAGGGTTTAGGGTTTAGGGTTTAGGGCTTAGGGCTTAGGGTTTAGGGTTTAGGGTTTAGAGTAGAAGCTCTACTCCTTCAGAAGCTACGCTGTGGTGCAAGCCATATCCCAAAAAAGCGGTAGAATCCCAAACAGGTCTCAGTCACAGAGTGTGTCTCCATCATTTTGTGCCGTAACCTGCCATCGATGGCGAGGGCAGGAGCAAAGCAAAAAGTGCAACTTATACCGCCCGAACCGAGAACATCTTGAAAAATAAATCTGCAGACCCCAAGCCCCAAACCCCAAACCCCAAACCCTAAACCCTAAACCCTAAACCCTAAACCCTAAACCCTAAACCCTAAACCCTAAACCCTAAACCCCAAACCAAGGGCACATGGAGACGAAGCTCACAGCCCCCAGGCCCAGACCGGCAAGAACGACCTGCCCAGAGACCGAAGCTAGCCATTGGTATTTAGAGCCTTGGCTGCCGTGATTGTTTAGGGTTTAGGGTTTAGGGTTTAGGGTTTAGGGTTTAGGGTTTAGGGTTTAGGGTTTAGGGTTTAGGGTTTAGGGTTTAGGGTTTAGGGTTTGGGGTTTAGGGTTTAGGGTTTAGGGTTTAGGGTTTAGGGCTTAGGGTTTAGGGGTTTAGGGGTTTAGGGGTTTTGGGGTTTTGGGGTGGCTTCCGTGATTGACCTCAGACTGAAGAAGCAGGCAAGCAGCTGTTCAGAGCCTCGACCCATGGAAGGGCCGAAGGCCCCGATGCAAGCCATCGAGATATGGGTGGTTGTCAAAATGATGATCAATTTCGGGGTACCCTAGATATTATGTAGTAGGGATCCAGAAAGGGACCACACTTCTGACAACCACCCAATATGAGTTTCAGGCTTTGGAAGAAGTTTGCACGAGGCGCTGGGATTGAGGGTGTAGGTGTTCGGGTTCAGGCTGTTTCTGGTTGGTTTCGGGAGGGGGGGGGGGCACCTGACAAAGGCTTCCTTCAGCACCCCTAAACCCATCCAAGAAACAACCTTCGCAAGCGCTCTGAAGGTCATAGTCCCTGGCTTTGGCATTGCTACGGCAATCTAGGGGGTAGCTACCCAAAGCAGGGTACAACTAGTTGAACCTATGTGTCAAGGGAGGGGGGGGGGGGGTTCAAGGGGGGTATGCAAGTCAAGGTTCTCCAAGACTTCCCACTACTCCCTAAGGCGCCCTAAGCTTCCCTCTGGTTCCCTAGGTACCCAGCCTTAAACCCTACCACCCTAAACACCCTAACACCCTAACACCCTAATACCCTAAATCCTAAACCCTAAGCCCCCCTTCCCTTAACTTCCCTAATGGACCCCAGAACGCAGACCCCGGGCGAGCCCAGGTGAGCATCATCAGCTTCCGCCGGTCCACCATCGTGGAGAGCACACCTGAGAGGGTTCAGGGTTTAGAGTTTAGGGTTTGCGGTTTGGGGTTCAGGGTTAGGGTTTAGGGTTTAGGGTTTAGGGTTTAGGGTTAGGGTTTAGGGTTTAGGGTGGCTTTGGGTTTGGGGTTTAGGATTTAGGGTTCTGGGGTTTAGGCACTGGCACGGCCCGAGGCCTAGCAAGTAACGGGGCCCACTGTGGCTTGGGGATTGTTCATAATTAGGTCGCGGTTTAGCGTTTAGGGTTTAGGGTTTAGGGTTGAGTGATCCTGGTCATGAACCTTTCACAACAGACGACACGACAAACCCCAACATATCCCAACACGAACACCCTAAGCCCGACCTAAGCCCCAAACGCTAAATCCTATACCCTGAACCCTGAATGCCTAAATCCTACACCCTAAACCCTCAACCCTAAACCCTAAACACCCTACAAGCCAGAGATCAGGGCCCCCGGCAGGCAGGCAACACCAACAGAACCACCAGGGCAATCACGCCCTGCGGAGGGTTAGGTTTGGGGTTTAGGGTTTAGGGTTGAGGGTTTAGGGTATAGGGTATAGGGTATAGGGTTTAGGGTTTAGGGTTTAGGGTTGAGGGTTTAGGGGGGATTAGGCTTTAGGGTTTTCAGGGCTTAGGGTTTGGGCCAGAGAAGGTCCCCGGCTCAGGGGCTCAACTCCCCTACAACCCTATGGAATGCTGGAGAGTCCCTAGTCCCTAAGCCCTAAACCCTAAATCCTAAACCCTAAACCCTAAATCCTAAACCCTAAACCCTAAACCCTAAACCCTAAATCCTAAACCCTAAACCCTAAATCCTAAACCCTAAACCCCCCCTGTCTCTCAAGTAGGGCTTAGAAGTCCTCTGCCTTGCTTGCTACGTCGGAGGTGCGGGCTGCGTAACGTGGGAAGCCCGCAACCAGAGTCATTCTTTGCGCAGCGATGCGCCACCATGCCACAGTAGCACTCTTGCACCCGAAAACCCTGAACCCTGAACCCCTAAACTCCTGAACCCCTAAACCCCCCAAGCCCTAAACCCTAAACCCTCCTAAACCCTAAACCCCCTAAGACCCTAAACCCTACACCCCAAAAGCCCACTCCATGACCTCACCTCAACACCCTGGCTTCCCACGGGCCTCCAAACCCCAACACGGCCAGAACGCAGCCTGCCAGGGCAGGTTTTGGAGGGGGGATTCAAGGGTTTCAGGTTTTACGCCCGGGGTTTGGGGTTTAGGGTTATAGGGTTCAGGGGTCAGGGTTTAGGGTTTAGGGCTTAAGGTTTAGGGTTTAGGGTTTAGGGTTGAGGGTTTAGGGTTTAGGGTTTAGGGTTTAGGGCTTAGGGTTTAGGGTTTGGGCTTAGGGGGGCTTTAGGGTCCTGGGGTCTTGTGGCGCTTAGGATTCAGGGGCCTCCGATCCTGAAACGAGCCGAACCCCTTGAAACGAGCAAGGGCTCGAGTGTTTAGGTTTGAGGGCATAGGGTTGAGGGTGTAGGCTGCACTGCCCGAAACCCGAAACCCTAAACCCTAAACCCCAAACCCCAAACCCCAAACCCTAAACCCTAAACCCGAACCCTAAACCCTAAACGCCAAATGCTCTGGCCTCCCAGTCGTACATCACGCTCGAAGCGTTGTCGACCTCCGGCCAAGGGTTACGCTTCGCCTGCTGACCCCACCCCCCCTAGGGTTTAGGGGTTAGGGTTTAGGGTTTAGGGATGAGGGATAGAATAGGCATTGTGGGAAGTGCTCCCGCGCAAAAGGTCTTGCTTATACGTGGGTGCACCCTCGCTTATGTACCGCGACTAGAACAATGAACACCCAACCTCGCGTCCACACGCACTCTGCATTCCCGGGCCTTCATGGAAATGGACACGACGAGGACAAAGCATAGAAAGCGGCCGAGATCCGAAAACAAGCTGCTCACCACGTTGCAGCCCTGCGGCGGGCGGGGGGGGGGGGGGGCCTTCATGCAAGCCGCGTATGCTTGGGGCCTATTAGAGAATTGCCATTTGCATTGGTACTTTGCATTACAACATAAGGTTGAAAAGGGGATGATGACGATGATGATGATGGGCATCGGGGCTCTTGTATGGGCCACTCATGGGCAAAGGTTACAGTCAGGGAACTTTAGGGTTCAAGAGGTTGGCAAACCCTAGGGTGCATGAAAGTAGATGTGAGGCTGCGAGACATAGCCTGCCTCGGCACCTGCTGTCTCAGGAACCCTAAACATGGTGACTTTTGACAGAGGTCTGCGCCATTGTTATCATGACCGCTAATATGATCATGATCATTCTCATGACTATGGGGATTATTCTTACAAACAATTGTAGTTCTTCATATTACCCTTATTCTTAACACTGAAATTAACGTACATCATGATTGTAGAAGTATGAGCATGACATGAAGAAGCTTCAGTATTGACAATAACATGACTATGCTGACGAACAACTCGTAACGAAAAACAGCTTGTCATCCTGGATTGGCCTTTAAACCCTCTGAAAGATATTTATATATAGTGTCCCTTATAACCCCAAATTATGGAAAATACAAGATGTTCCAAAAACCAACCTAGTATCATATTCTGTTGTACATGGGTTCTTCGTCTGCGGCTGTTCTCCCGGCCTCAGCGCGCTCGTTGTCCTGCCAGCAGTCAGCTGGAGGGCTGAAGCCACGCAGCTTACGGCAGGCTTAGGGGTTTAGGGTTTTTGGTTTTTAGGGTTTGGGGTTTAGTGGTTAGGGTTTAGGGTTTAGGGTTTAGGGTTTAGGGATTAGGGTTTAGGGTTTAGGGTTTAGGGTTTAGGGTTTAGGGTTTAGGGCTCTCTAGGGCTTAGAGCTTGAAACTTCCATAGGCGGTCCGCAGAGGTACTGCGAGTTCGTTTTGCCAAGCTTCGAGTCTTGGGATTTGGGGTTTGGGGTTTGGAGTTTAGGGTTTAGGGGTTAGGGTTTCGGGTTTAGGGTTTGGGGTTTGGGGTTTGGGGTTTCAACTTTTTCGGTGCCCAAGGGTGCTGGCATCCAACTCCCTTCTCCTCGATGGGAACGAAGTGGCCGAGGATGAAATGGAGCATGTAGCCAACTGCGTACCTGACACAGGGGTTTCCTAGTTCATGGTTGGGATAGTATTAAAATTTTAAAATGATATTCCTTATTGGGTTTAAGTACCCTTAAAAATGTAAAATGTTACCCAACTACGACAAAGTTTCTATCGCTGTAATTGGTAGGTGTATATATATATATATATATATATATATATCTCGCTTCTTGCTGCAAATATTGCAAGTGGTATTGGTCTTTGTACATATGGCTCCTTCTAATCATTGGTGGGTGTATACTTTGGGTGCCCTGTTGGGGATACTCGTAATTTTAAACCCTACCTTCACCTACGACGGAAACATGGGGGAATTGTTTCCCACTGCTATGCATGAGGCAACACATGTTCGGTCTTCTTTGCCAAAGAAAAAGGTGAAGCCAAGCGATTCCTAAACCCTAAACCCGAAGCTAAACCCCAAGACCCTAAACCCTAAACCTTAAACTCGAAGCTAAACCCCAAGACCCTAAACCCTAAACCCTAAACCCTAAACCCGAAACCCTAAACCCTAAACCCTGAACCTGTCAGCTCCTCCCGGGCACGGCAGCATCACCACCTTGAGGGTGAGGTACTGTCCTTGGTTGCTGGGTAACCATATTGCAACAAGGGTTTCGGGTTTAGGGTCTGGGGTTTAGGGTTTAGGGTTTAGGGTTTAGGGTTCAGGCTTTAGGGTTTAAGGTTTAGGGTTTAGTTTAGGGTTTAGGGTTTAGGTTTGGGGAGGGGTTCCCTGTTTTGGTTGGTAACCTTGAACCAAAAACAGGTGCAAAAGGGTACCACTGAGCTTCCAAGCGTCGCACCCCCCGGAACATGAGGTAGATACAAAGCAAGACCTGCTCAGAAGGGCCAGAACTTCAGGGCGTCTGGGTGTTTAGGTGTTAGGGTTTAGGGGTTTAGGGTTTAGGGTTTAGGGTTTAGGGTTTAGGGTTTAGGGTTTAGGGTTTAGGGTTTAGGGTTTGGGGTTTGGGGTTTAGGGTTTAGGGTTTAGGGTTTAGGGTTTAGGGTTTAGGGTTTAGGGTAAAGGAGACCTCCCACCATCTCTTCCGGAACGGGGGAAGAGAAACAAAAAAAGAAAGCGCCTTGTAGCCGCACTCAGTGGTGATCATTAATATTACAATTATCATTGTTATGACTATTGTTACTGTTCTTGTGGTTTTTACGACTATTAGTACCATTATTTCGTTATTTTTATTTCGATTAATATGACTAATATTATTGTCGAGCCTTGTAGCCGCACTCAGTGGTGATCATCAGCGCGTACCTGGGGAGAGGCGCTGGGGGGCTGGAGGCTTTGAGGTTCTGCGGAGGTGTGCAGGCGTGTACCCTTTTTAGGGTTTCGGGTTTACGGGTTGCCACAAGGATGTATAGTATATACATATATACACACTTACTGCATGGGCACTACGTGCCATTGCAGAGTTGAAGGTCCTTGCAAGACTTCGGCGAAAAAAACCCGAAAACTCTGAACGCTAAACCCTGGAAAATGCTCAGGGCGAAGGCTTGAGTTTTTGGTGAAAGAGGGCAAGTACGCAAACCATGCACGCTCTCATTTTCGGCGCAGATAGTCCAGAGGAAGTCACAGACCTTGAGACCTGCACGAACTAAACCGAAAACATTTGCCCGAAACACTAAACACCACAGGGCTTTGGATTTAGGGTTTGAGGGTTTAAGGGTTTGGGGCAGTAACCCCGTCCCGTGCGCAAGACCAAAACTCTCACACGGCGACACTCTAAACGTGGACATTCCAGAGGTGCTTGTCGCATATGTACAAAAACTTCGCGAATCCTCCGCCGAAAAGCCGCCCCCACCCATGATCACAGGGTCTCGGACGCATCCACGTGCAAACGGTCCATGTACGTATACAGCATATACTTGAGCCTCAACTATATATTCTGCACAGTAGCTTCGGAGATTTTTCAGATCCTCCTACCTCGCAAACTTCGGGGTTTGGGTACTTTGACTCCCTAAACCCTAAACCCTAAACCTTGAAACCTGAACCCTGAACCCTAAACCCTATACCCTAAACCCTAAACCCTAAACCCTAAACCCTAATCCCTAAACCCTAAATCGCAGCTTCCTGTGTGTGGGCGCGGCTTCGCATTAACACTACACAAGACGGCGCGGCGCCGCGCGGAAAGGCGCGGAAAATCCTCAAAATCGCGGCGGGCATCCTCGGATGCCTTGCAGGGAGGAACTACAGCGTGGGTTTAGGGTTTGGGGTTTAGGGTTTAGGGTTTAGGGTTTAGGGTTTGGGGTTTGCCACAAGTCAAGTAAGTCCCGAAAGTCACCTAAGCCCTCAATCGCTTCAACTCTAAACCATACAACAATTCTCGAGGGGGATCCAAATCATGGCCTTTTAAGGTCGCCAGTAGAATACAGAGCCTCAAACTGAGGGTACCCAACAGAAAACATAGTTCAGAGAACAGCCCATCTGTTATCATCCTAGGGCGTACAAGCCTCGAATCATCATGCTTATCTACACGACCATCTTGCTCATGCGGCAGCTAGGAGGTTCCGGGTGCGCAGTGCTGAGCGCTTGTGAAGTAGCCAGAGAATCCAACACCCTTTAACTTGAGGGTTTAGGGTTTAGGGTTTAGGGTTTAGGGTTTAGGGTTTAGGGTTTAGGGTTTAGGGTTTAGGGTTTAGGGTTAGGGTTTAGGGTTTAGGGTACATTCCAAAAATCAAGCTAGGATCTCTGCCAGAGCTCAAGCAGGAAGATTCCATAATCAAGGTGTATTGGGCTCTCTGGGAAGAGCCGGCTGCCGATTCCTTAGTATCCTCAAAAGGACACCCAATATCTACGATCACCAAAGTTGAGCAAAAACACATGTGCATTCATCATCAACACCCTGCTTCCTTGTTGGGCTATACAATAAAAAATTACCATATTTGTTCCTTGTTGGGAATTTCAAATGACAAAATGTAAAATTATTACCAACAAGGGCCCAGAACCCATGAAAACCCAACTCGCACTATGATTGAAGGAGGCAAGCCGCGCTCTGGCCGAAGGTCATCCTCAGAAGGCCTGGAAGTTGTTTGTTTCGGGTTTCAGGGTTTAACAGTGCAGGGTTTAGGGTTTAGGGTTTGGGGTTTGGGGTTTAGGGTTTAGGGTTTAGGGTTTAGGGTTCAGCATCTCAAGTTCAAGCATTCACTAGTCAAGAAGTTTTTACTCCAGAAAAATACCCACCCGCCCGAAGAATCCCACAACATTAAGAAAATATTTCACTTATGGAACGACCTTGCCCAGTAAAAAGATGACCTTGCCCAATAAAAAAAATGACCTTGCCCAGTAAAACCTTGCCCAGTAAAAAAATGACCTTGCCCAGTAAAAAAATGACCTTGCCCAGTAAAAAAATGACCTTGCCCAGTAAAAAAATGACCTTGCCCAGTAAAAAAATGACCTTGCCCAATAAAAAAATGACCTTGCCCAATAAAAAAATGACCTTGCCCAGTAAAAACATGACCTTGCCCAGTAAAAACATGACCTTGCCCAGTAAAAAAATGACCTTGCCCAGTAAAAAGATGACCTTGCCCAGTAAAAAGATGACCTTGCCCAGTAAAAAGATGACCTTGCCCAGTAACATTTTTACTGGGCAAGGTCATTTTTTTACTGGGCAAGGTCATTCTTTTACTGGGCAAGGTCGTTTTTTTGACGAAACGACCTTGCCCAGTAAAAAAATGACCTTGCCCAGAAAAAAAATGACCTTGCCCTGTAAAAAAATGACCTTGCCCAGTAAAAAAATGACCTTGCCCAGTAACTCCTTAACATTTAAATTATATATGAAAGAGAGGTTTAGGGTTTAGGGTTTAGGGTTTAGGGTTTAGGGTTTAGGGTTTAGGGTTTAAGGTTTGGGGTTTGGGGTTTGGGGTTTGGGGTTTAGGGTTTAGCGTTTAGGGTTTAGGGTTTAGTTTAGGGTTTAGGGTTTAGGGATTAGGGTTTAGGGTTTAGGGTTTGGGGTTTGGGGTTTGGGGTTTAGCGTTTAGGGTTTAGGCTTAGGGTTTCGGGTTTCGGGTTTCGGGTTTAGGCGGTTTAGGGGTTGAGGGTTGAGGGTGGAGGGTTTACGATTTGGGCTAAAGGGGTGCTTGGATGGCGACACTCACTTTCAGAGAGAGTCTGAAGCGACAGCCGCAAGGCCACAATGGAGGTGGGCGGTTTTATGTGCAAACCCTGCGCCTTATAAACCCTGAAGCCCCCGAAGCCCTAAGCCCCCCTGCAGGCTCAAAACGCAAGAAACCCTGGAGCCTCCTAAACCCTAAACCCTAAACCCTAAACCCTAAACCCTAAACCCCCAAACCCTAAACCCTAAACCCTAAACCCTCAACCGCGTTCTTGGCCTGTAATGGCTTGAAGATGACGATAGGGTAGCTCGGGTGGCGGCAAAACCGAAACTTCAAACCCCTAAGCTCTAAACCCTAAACCCTAAACCCCAAACCCTAAATCCTAAACCCTAAACCCCAAACCCTGATTCCTAAACCCTAAACCCCAAACCCGGAACCCTAAACCCTAAACCCTAAACGCCAAACCCGGAGGGCCCTCTAAGGCACCTCGTCGTTCTGGAACTGCCGGAATCGCGACTGAAGAGCGGCCTCGGCGGACAAGCAATCAATCTTGCAACAATAATAATAATAATCATAATAACAATAATAATAATAATCATACTAATAATAATCATAATAATAATAATCATAACAATAATAATACTAACAATAGGCCCGAAATACTAACAGTCCTTGAAAAGGAATATAATAGGGTTTAGGGGTTAGGGTTTTGGGGTTGGGGTTTAGGGAAGTCCCCCGATTAAGGACTGTTCGTATCTTAGTTGCTGAGTTCAGGAGCTCCCCCCCCCCAAAAAGTGTGCACTTTCAGTTCTATGGGGGATTACACTCTCCCAGGAAGTGTTTTGTGCACTCATTCAGCTTGGCCAAGTGTTTAGGGCTCAGGGTTTAGGGTTTAGGAGTTTGGGATTTCGTTTTGTTTTTTTTTGGGGGGGAACCCCTAAGTATGAAAATTTGGCATGTCCTTGTCATCAAGCCAAACAAAGCGAAACTTACGTTCAAGGATGTTTAGGAAAGCCATACCACCATACCATGCGAGGGAAGCCTTAGACCTTCCCAAAACCTGATACAGAGGCCTGAACAATTACCAACTCCATGTAGCTCAGTACTCTACCCAAAATGTCCTACTCGCTCCAATGGGTTGCAGGGTTGCTATGAGGTAGGGCTTAGAGTCCAGGAACACAGAAGTTATGTGTCGACTGAGTGACTTTATCGGCCCCTGTATACGCTGGACAGCTTTCTTCTCCCGCCCTCTCTGAGACACACACACACACACACAACAGCTGCATGCCAACCGGTCAGACAGGCGGGCGACGCCGGAATCCTCGAAATCTCTGTCTCCGTTGAAGCCTTCCAGGGTTTGGGATTTACGGTCCATACTTGAAGGTTTATGGGTACGTATAGGTGGGGTCCTGAGGGAACCTTAAACAAGGTGATAGCCACGGTTACCCCACTTAAAAGCCTACCCTAAACCCCGACTGATAAGTTAGATGGTGTTTGGCAGGGTCTTTTCTGTTAGGTTTGGGCCTCGCTGCCTGTCTGGGATGCATTTCCCAAAGCGAGGACGTAGGGTTTAGGGTTTAGGGTTTAGGGTTTAGGGTGTAGGGTTTAGGGTTTAGGGTTTAGGGTTTAGGGTTTAGGGTTTAGGGTTTAGGGTTTAGGGTTTAGGGTTTAGGGTTTAGGGTTTAGGGTTTGGGGTTTGGGGCTTTAGGGTTAGTCGTCTTAAACAGCCGTGCAGATGTCTTGGCGCCACTGTGTGCATCGCCATCCTATGCGACCCACTGGGCGGAGCCAGTCTGAAAATCTTCAGCTGCCCTGCACTTCCATTCTGGCATCTCCACTTGGAGGTTCATATGGGTACTTATAAGTAGGGGTTAGAAGTAATTAGGGATGGTTATAACCGGATTTAGGGTACTTATGACCAACCTTACTTAGAAGTACCCATGAACCTTCAAGCAAACCACAGGCTTTGCCCGGGCACGAGCCCGAGCACATTCGCACTGCAGCACCCAGATTGTGAATCCACCGTACGCTTTCTGGGATAACCCTAAACCCTAAACCCTAAACCCTAGACCCTAGACCCTAAACCCTAAACCCTAAACCCTAAGAAAATATCCCAAGCGCCCATCGAGGAAGGGCGCTCAAGACCAGGAACCACTCCGCTCCAGACCGCCAGGCGAATCTGCAATTCAGGG